TCCATCGAGCCGTTTCCAAGAACTCGCGTGCACAAAATTGGTAAGAAAAATATAATAATAACTAGGCGAGCTTGTTGCAAAGCAACAAATAAGTCTTCCGTCTAAATTTCAAGAAGATGAGATCGAGATCGAGAGACCTCTACGGTCATTTGTTCAAAAATGAGCCATTTACCATTACTCTCCGTGTGACCGGAAGTGACTTCATTTTTACGACTTTTAATGGTCCCCTTAGCTACTACTTGCCATTTTGAACAACTTTGCTTCTATGATGCTATACAAATTCTCAATACTTTTTTAGATATCAGGAAAACACTTTTGGTGGCCCCTCTAGCTCCCTAATTTTAGGGGTCAGGCCCTAAGTGTTGATATCCTTTGAAAGATTGTGACATTCTACACAACTTTTGTTCTATATGTTTTAACAAAATATTTACAAGTAAAAAGCTATTGTAGAAAAAGCGTTAAAAAATTTGAAATTTTTGATATGCCTTTTTTCGGACCATAGCGAGCGCCGACTTGCGGCATTTCCGGTAAAAATGAAATGCCTTACGCATATCTGCAGACATGGTCTATCATACCTGAATGTTACATGGTTCTATCTAGAGCCATTCATGAGAAAATTTCCAGACAACCCAACCTTTCAAAAATCATTAAATCGACAATATCTCTGGACCGGAAGTGACGTCATCAAAACAGAAAAAAACACATAAGGCTCAAGTGATGATATATAAGTCCTGAAAGTTTCACGGAAATCCATCAAGCCGTTCTTCGAGAAATCGCCTGCACAAAATCGGTAAGAAAAAAACAATAATAACTAGACCTTTTTTGTCGTTCAACAAAAATGGAGGGCTTTTTGACACTTAAAATCTCAAGGACCTTAAAGAGCGATAACTCTAACAAAATGAAAATCATAAAAAAAATCATCAGACCGGATCAAGTTTTCAAATACTTATAAAAAAAAACCTAAAGGGTATGTAATTCTCACTAGAGCTCTGCAAAGGGGGATAACTCTTACATTCTTATTTTTAAAATTACTAAGCTCCGTATTTTCTCCAGATTTCTGTATTTCCTCATTTTATCAACCATGTAAATACCTCCGTATTTTTTACATATTTTGAATATATGGAAATTCATAGATCTGGAGTGAATTCGGAAAAAGAGTCCAAATCCTCCCATCTGCATTTTCTCCATATTTTGAATATGGAGAAAATCTGGAAATTTGAATCTAAGGAAATCTGGATTGAATATGGAAAAAGAGTCCAAGTACTCCTGTCCGCATTTTCTGCTTATTTTGAATATGGAGAATATCTGGAAATCTGAGGTACTGGTTCATAACCAGATATTTCCATGAAGACTAACCGCATTATACACTGTGTTAGATGGATATAAAAATAATGAAAAACTATTTTAGAGCAGAAAAAATAAGAAAACTCTTATTATGTTTATATTAAAGATATTGTATTATATTAAGAGCATTTTGACCGATATCCTCAATTTTTTTTTTCAGACTGAATGATTGTTTATTCATTTAACACCAGCTTATACATGTAAAATTGAATAAGCTTGTGAAAATATTTATCACTGCTTTAGAGATTTTACAGAAAAAAAAAGACAATCCTATTTCCATTAATTAAATTCTGATACATAGGTAATTTTTCATCATTTGAATAATTTTCTTTCTCTAAATCAATTTTCATGCAACAAATTAGAAATTCAAAAAACATTTAGAATTTTATGAGTCCACAGTTGAATTGTAATCTTTAATGATAACTAAATTCTATATAGACATAAATGTTATAGTTAATAATCACAATTTTAACATTTTAGTAAACAATTTAAAGACAATTGAACATCTAACCATTACCAGTTCTGCGTACCTAAATTTTATCACAATAAGAAAACAAAAACACATTTAAAGATGTGAATAATTTTAAATAAAAAAATTATGGAATAACTATTGATAAACTAATGAAAAGCCAATGTAAAGGTCTTTGAATTACAACTGAAAGGTCACTGAAAGATGACGGAAAGGTCACTGAAAGACGACAGAAAGGTCACTGAAAGATACCTGAAATGTGTCTGCTGAATGTTGACTGAAAGGTATCTGAATTGTGGCTAAAAGATCAGTGAAATGTACCTGCCATTCAGTCACTGAATGGCCACTGAAAAGTCACTGAAAGCCGCCTTTCAGTTTTAACTGAAAGGTCTTGTTTCTTCCTGTGTTTATTAAATGGAAATTAACTTGCACATGTGTACTGAAAGTAGATAAACTGTTGATGAACCATTTTGTTATATTTATACAGTAAAAACTCGGTTATTGCGAAGTCCTGGGAACCTGTGAATTTACTTCGCTATATCCGTTATTCGTTATAATGAATTCATTAAGGTACATGTATATATAATGAATTCACAATATGCAACTTTTCCTTCAAGTATGACAACCAAATATGTTTTGGGAGGCATTAAATACAAAATTTTACTTGGGATACTACATGTTTTTGATGAATGGAATTTCAGATCTAAATACTTATAAAAAATAAAGTCATTTTAATATTTTGAATTTTAAGATATTGAAAATTCAGTATAAAAGATATAATTTCGTAATTTTTAACCTCTACGGGATAGAAAATCAGTTCACTATATCCGTAAATTCGTTATATCAAATTTGTTATAGCGAATTTAATTCATTATAACAATTTCTTTGAATTCATAATAACAATTTTAATCTGTTATAACAAATTTGTTGAATTCATTATAACAAATTAAAAAATCATTATAGCGAATTAAACTTGTTTAAATGAATTCTAAAACTTGTTATAACATATTAAACTCATTGAAATGTATTCTTTAATTTGTAATAACGAATTAAATTTGTTAAAACAAATTCCAAAATTCGTTATATTGAATTCATATATATATTTCTATAGGTTCTGATTGTTGAATTTGATCAAATGAATTTAATTTGTTATAACATTTTAGAAATTGTTGAAAAGAATTTACTTTGTTATAACAAATTTTAGAATTCATTATAACAAATCAAATCTGTTATAACAAATTTTTGAATTCGTTATAACGAATTCAAGAAATCTGTTGTAACAAATTTAATTTGTTATATTGAATTTAAAAATATTTTTTGAAAGGTCCTAAATAGGCTTCCATAGGATATAACATCATAATTCTTTTTATCTAATTAAACACACTTCAGAAATTTTAAGAACATAATTGAATGATAAAAGAAATTGACTATAACCAATAAAAATTCTTGAGTTGTCTCTCTTTGTAGAAATAATTATCTGTTGCGATGAATGCATCCTAGGGTTCTTGACCCTGAATATTGATAAGGTTGGAAGGTGTGTTTAAAATACTGTGAAATTTCAAATTTTCATGGGGGTTTAATTTTCATTTTTTCCTAGTATGCTTAGACCCAAAAATTCATGTATTTCATGAAATGTTAAAATTACAAAGTACATTACCATGTATGTCTTAAAAACCACAAAATTAATTCCTATCAATCAGTATTTTTTCCACAAACCAAGAAATTTGACCCCATGAAATTCAGTGATTTTCAACATTTTCTACAGTAAGTTTCATTTTTCTGACAGATATTTCAATGAATATTCCAATTTTTTACCATTTCTTTATTATCTCCCCTTGAAAAGGGGCATGGTCCTTCATTTGAAAAAAACTTAAATCGAATTCACTCAAAAATGATTTGTGACATGAGTCCACTGGTTCTGGAGACTAAAAAATGCAAAAAGTTTTTCAGATGACAAACAACGGACAGACAGATGGACACCAAACACTTTCTATCAGAAAGGTCACTTCAGCCTTTTTACTCAGGTGTGCTAATAACATGATCTCTATATGTTAGGGCTGTCACGGTTCCAAAATTTTTTGGGTCGGGCTGGTTCTGTAAATTTTCAGTTCAGTTTTGGGTTTTTCAGTTTGGTTATTTACCTATATTTTAAAACTTAATTTCATGAATTTAACTTTAAAAAAAGCTTTATTTTTTACTTTACATTCACCTTGAAAACAAATTTAACCACGTTAACGTCTTGACATTGGTGTTTAGGATTACTATGCTGACTATTAGCTACAACCTGACCATTCTTGCTTGTTTATATAATCATCTAATCCTTTCTAACAAGTGTTTTGTCATGGAATGAAGTATAATTCAGTTGTGATGTTTATTTATCACTGTTATTGTCATTATGATAGGACACAGACTACCAATTATTTTGCTATACATTCCTTAAGAATGTAAACATTCATTTAAAAAATCACATCGGCTCAACTTACCTGCAACTTGGCACAGAGTTAGAACAATTCAAGTCCAAAAATTTTTCAGGCTCTTGGGAGAATTCATAGTCTGCAAGTCCAGCTATGGCATCACAAATAACCCCTACCCTGCTTATTTCACTTTCCCTTCGAGGAAAGGGTAAACATGGGCCTCTTTACACCCTTCCTACTAAGCACTTAAAAGCAAAATTTCCCATTAAAATTATTATCAATTTTATAATTTTTTTTCAGACCCTCTCCTTTCCATCTATGCCCTAAATTAACCCGATTCCACCCCATAAACATCCCCAAGAATTTTTGAGAAAAAACCTCTATTTTTAAACTGGCACTACTTGTGTGGTCAATGAAATAGGGGTAAAATTAGTAGCTTGTAACCTTCTTTTGATTTCGACACCATTTTTTGTATAAAACAGACTCTAATATATAAACCACACCCCAACTGAAATCTGGAAAAATGGAATCGAAACCAGACCGAACAACTTGGACTGCATTTTTGGTTATTTCGGGGAACCGTGACAGCCCTACTATATGTCTGCCTTACTCTACTAGCAATATGAAAAATAGCACATAACACGGAATAGCATATAAAAAACATAGCAAGATTTGGGCTGCATTCACTTTTTCAATGCATTTATTTTGAGATCTACACAAAGGGAAAAAAGTTTCCATTTTGTTGCTGTTTAATGACTTGCATGGGCACTTACTTTGCCTGTAGAGCATTATTCAATCGTATTCCATCAGCTAGACCACAAATCTGAATAAGATCATCTCGTGTCAGACGTAACAAATCTCCACCTACAATACCAAAAATAGCATTGTATATTTCACCTACAGCTAGCACTTGTATTCTGATTTTAAATGATCTCTGACAATTTTCAACCAAAATATCTTCAGGCTATTGACAGTAGATATCCCCTTCTGCCTCATTCATGGACAGCATATGATAAAAGAATTATGGATAACCTGGACTTAGCTTTTGAGCAGGGATTAGCTCAATTGATTATAGGACATTATCCGGAGAAAAAAGGTTTAATTCATGGTTTTTTTCACTTATAAAACTGTGATTGAGAGTGATCTCCCGAGTAGAATTCTCTACACAATGAAATCCAATAAAGCGTACATTACAGAGATGAACAAAAGCATGTGTGGTTCCTTCAATTGGTAGAATCATCTCTGTAGCAAGAAAGAAAAGCAGTGGTGGCTTCGTTGGACATTGAACTCAAGGCACAGACAGTCAACAGATTGTTATTTACCGTAGCTATGCTGGAATGGGCAAAAATGTGACAAATGCTGAAAACAGTTTCAGACCTGTTTACCCATATTGTTGTCTCTCAGTAGTTTTTAATTGATTTGTCAGTGAGATTTGGCATTTGCCAGTAAGATTTCACTTTCAGTTGATTTTACATATATTACTAGAGAACAACTACATTTCTGATTACCATCTTTGTAATTTTTTAAAACGTTTTAGCAACCCGAAATCACTTAAGTGTATGAAATCTCTCTTTAGCGATTAAAAAAGCTTCAAACTGAGACAGATCATAACGAAAACTAACAGCTAAAGTCCAAAGGAACGGATTTCCGATTTCTGTATTTTCATAAGAGCAAAACGTGAGACATATTTTGGACTCAAAATCCATAAAAAATACGGCGAAATCGTAAGAGTAAACAGGACTGCAGTTTTTAGGTCTTGTGAAGAGGTGCTATTTAGTAAATACGAATAAATAATCAAAATAAAATTCATGTCAATATTTCTATAACAATTGGATTTCCAATAAAGTAAGTAACATTATAGAAACAGTCAATCAAATCACTCTACCATTATGAATGATAATAGATTCTAAGGGAAGTAACTCAAAAATAAAGAAAGGTACTGGTATATCTGTGTCTTGTTTCTATATTTGCATTTTCAGCCAAAATATCTAGATGTCATAGGAAATGAGGATACAATAATGTATATAAGACCGCAAAACATTAACTAACAAAATTGGAAATATGCAGCTTACGTCATTTCCATCTGTTACAGTCAAAACATTTAATGAGACAATGAAATGGGTGCCCCGTGGGTACAATTCGACACGGACGTCCGTGAAAAAATTGGATTGAAATTCTAGTTTGAAATACATTTTCAATCCATCTGAGCTGTTTTCAAATGCAAAGTGTGAATGTTTGATCCAAAAGACAAATAATTTCAATTCCCAAATACATGTTGTTTGAAATTCATATTCATATGAGCTTTTTAGCCTATAATTTCTATAATCTTAAGGACAGGTAAAAGAGAAGACAGAGATTATTTTTTTCAGGGGACGGCCATTTGATTCAAGAAGGGGGGGGGGGCTGTCAAAAATTGTAGGTCAGATCATGCCTTCACATGACAAAATATATTTATTTCTAGGATAACAAGAGCTATTTTTTTTTTTAGTTTTGTCTTCACTGAAAAATGATTGAGAATCAAAAACGGGGAGGGGTTGTCCAAACTAAAAACATAGGTAATCAAAGATTACGAAGCTCACCTCGACGAATGTTATCAGTAAAAGTAATGCAAATCTCACATCATATTTTCTTTATAGTTAGTGTGCATCCTGAAAACAATATTCATGCAAGTTCTGTCTAAGTAGGTCTTATAGTTCTTTGGGAATTGACCTGTTCCAAAAACTTTAACCTCTTCACTAATCAAGAAAATGTCTTTCATTTCCTACATCCAAAGCAAGTCTGGAATGCACCATCTATGCAAGTTAAATCATAACAGGCCATATAATTATAGAGCTACTCCAAACACATTGTCATGGTTACTCATTTGGAAAATGTAGGTCAGATCCAGCATCCGAAGCAAGTCTGGTAGTGCCCATCCCTAGATACATCATCCATGCAAGTTTGGTCCAGGTAGGGCTTATAGTTGCTTGGGAATGGACCTGCTCCAAAACTTTAACCTGGTCACTCATCTGGAAAATGTAGGTCAGATCCAGCATCCAAAGCAAGTCTGGTAGTGTCTATCCCTAGATGCATCATCCATACAAGTTTGGTCCAGATAGAGCTTATAATTACTTGGGAATGGACCTGCTCCAAAAACTTTAACCTGGTCACTCATCTGGAAAATGTAGGTCAGATCCAGCATCCAGAGCAAGTGTTGTAGTGTCCATCCCTAGATGCATCATCCATGCAAGTTTGGTCCAGGTAGGGCTTATAGGTACATGTACTTGGGAATAGACTTGCTCTAAAACTTTAACCAGGACGCCGACCCCAACGCCAGGGGTATTGCATAAGCTCATCTCGATTTCGTCGAGGTGAGCAAAAAATGCATTTGTACCAACTTTTGTTTTCAACACGTTAGTATGAGGATGGATTAGAACTGTAATGCTTTTAATGTCTGATCAATTGGTTTGCTTTATATCCATGGCTTATCAACATGTGAACGTTTTAGGCCATTAATGTTCCTTTTAAACAAAGGCCAAGTCTTTTTGGAAATGGCTATAGGAAGTGATACAAAAGTATAAGAAATAAGGGCAGAATTTTTTTCCAAATTAGTCTGCATATTACCAATATTTTTTTATGATAAAATATGCAATGCGGCTACCTCAAAACAGATGGCGCCAGCCTGAGAACCATAATTTCAATTTTATGTGGCCTAAATCAATGTGTCAATAAAATTTGACATTTCATAAGGCTAATTTGACTTTCTTTTTGAAAATCAGGAATTGATAGTTAGTTGCTTGAATTTTTTTCCATGTGAACAACCAAGGAGGGAGGATTTAGGAACATCCTGTCCTAACATGACATGAATGATATTGTCGAAATTGTACATACACATTGTAGATATATCATGTATAAAATATTGAAAAAGAACGAAAATTAAATAACCAAATAACAGAAATATTAGGGGTGCATTATATAATTAATTACTTGAGCAAAGTAATTGTAAGTTAATTAATTACATTTATAAATTGGATTAATTGTAATTTAATTGAAGAATTATGCAAAGTAAGTAATTTGGTAATGACCCCATGCCAAATATGAAAAGAACTAGACAAGCTTGTTGCAAAGCAACAAATAAGTCTTCCATCTAAATTTCAAGGAGATAAGATCGAGATCGAGAGACATCTACGGTCATATGAGCAAGAATGAGCCATCTACCATTACTTCCGGTTTGACCGGAAGTGACGTCATTTTGACGACTTTTAATGATCTTCTTAGCTGCTACTTGTCATTTTGAACACCTTTGCTTTTATGATGTTATACAAATTCTCAATACTTTTTTAGATATCAGGAAAACACTTCTGGCCCCTCTAGCTCCCTAATTTTAGGGGCTGGCCCCTTATTGTTGATGTCCTTTGAAAGATTGTGACATTCTACACAACTTTTGTTCTATATGTTCTAACAAAATATTTACAGGTAAAAAGATACTGTAGAAAAAGTGTTAGAAATTTTTAAATTCCCGATAGGACTTTTTTCAGGCCATAGCGAGCGTTGACGTGTGGCACTTCCAGTGAACGTTAACTACGTATTACAGATCTACATATGTTGCTCTGTCTTCACCAAAAGTTCCATGTTCCTGTGATGAGTGGTTTCTTAGAAAACCTGCGGACAAACTGACCATCCAAAAATCACTAAATTGCAAAAATCTTTGGACTGGAAGTGACGTCATCAAAATAAAAAAATATGTATCAAGATTTTTTAATGTTCTATCAGGCCTGAAAGTTTCATGAAAATCAAGCGAACCATTTTTGAGAAATTGCGTGCACAAAATCGGTAAGAAAAAAATAAGAAGAACTAGAAACTCATTGCAATGAGAGGTCTTCTGTCCGATTCTCAAAATAAAAACGAAAATTCAAGCTGAAAAAGTGATAATAGAAATTCAGACACTCTGGAGATTTAACCCTGGTCATCATCGTGAAAATCCAACATGCTAATCATTAACCATTCATTTTTTTGCATCACTTCCTGTCATGACTGGAAGTAACAGGCGATACAAGATTTTTTCACAATTCAAATAAACTGATGACTGGCTATCAGTCCTGAAAGTTTTTTGGCTTCAGTCGTTTACTGTTGCCGAGCAATATTGTTAGAACAAATTCTAATTTTGAGGACAGGTAAACACGCGGAAGGAAGTGAATTTTATAAAATCTCTGACTTTTCTCTAGACATTTGCAGTATCATACAACATACATAAAATTATTTCAAGTACTTTATCAATAAGCAATATTTATGAGAAAGTTAAATATGAAAATAACGTAGTTTATCTCCTAAAACCAGAAGTTGACGTTTATGTTTCCCATGGAATCTAACATATTTCAAAACAGCAAAAGAGATGTCATAAAGTGATGCAAGTTTTAATTAAAAAAAGAAATGTTAAATTTTTTTATTTCTTTGATCACTTCCTGTGACAAGCGGAAGTGACGACTGACGCGTTTAACCCAAATGGTTTTGCCTACTCCTCAAGGTCTATTAATCATAAAAGTTTGGTGTTTTAATCTTTACCTGTTTTTGAGATCACGCTCAGAGAACTTCTCATTTCGAGGACAGAAAAACATGCAACCCGAAATGAATTTTTGAAAGATAATTAAGGTTACTCTAGACATTTGCACTCTGAATAACATATTTAAAATTCATTTCAAATACTTTATCTATAAAGAATATTTATGGGAAAGTAAAATATTCAAATTATTTAGTTTTTCTCTTCTAACCGGAAGTTGTCGTATTTGTTTCTGGTGGGACCAACATTTTTCGAATCTGCGAAAAAGATGCAATAAAGTGATGCAATTTTTAATGAAAAAAAAAAAGTTGAAATTTTCGATTTATTG